AAGGTCTCATGAGCCTCATGTGGATGCAGATCTACCACTGTGTTTCTGAGGCCATTAGCAGAGAGCTGGATCAGAAGTGGAGCAGCCGGGACATGACCCAGCGTTCATATGAGATGCTGATGCTTGGAGAGGATTAGCCTGTTGAGTCACTATGCCAGCCTGATTTGGCATAATTCTAATTGAAATTCAAAGTTGAAAATAACATGCTAAAGTCAAATTACGTAAGTCATTCTGTACAATTTTAGTTGATTTTCCATTTTCTTTCCCATTTAACTGAATGCTTCAAACACTTAAATATTCTAACTTGAAACTGTCCCTGTAATTTCTCTTTAGTAAACTTTATCTAGTTTTACATTCTTTTTAAAAAATATTTATTTATTTATTTATTTGTTCATTTATTTATAATCTTACTTAGTTGCTTAGGGTACAAAGGATCAAGGGCTACAGGAAAGTGGGTAAGATCATTGTTTCCACACTAATATCATCATTTTTCCCCCTGTAACTGGGGTCAGGGGAGAGACAAACGAAGGAGCCCCACCCAGCCTCCCACCCATCCCAGGTCCCCGACATGGGGCATGCTTCCAGGGTCCTGCTCAAGCAGTTTTGATAGTTCAACAGTTCTGAATTGCTGCCAATCTCGCTGTTCCAAGCACAATGAAATCTCTTCAGAATCCAAGGCTGACATAGTGTCTTCATGGTTGGAGTTCTGAGATCAGCAGTTCAGTTGGAGGGATCTCCAAAGAAACTTTGTCTGAGGTGACCCCAAACCTGATTCTTGTGTGTGCTTGCCAGTACAGGGTCCAGCACCATCTGTCACCCCAATTAGCTTACGTACATACTGCTGGTTCCAATTGCTGGGTCTGTTCTGTTTCCAGCCCTTTGTTCCATGCGAACTGATGGGTGTTGCAGTTGAGCTCGATCCTACCCACTTCATACCAGGCCCTCACGCAAACCACTAGGAGCTGCAGCCTAGTTGGGGCGACTCCCCAAAACCTCCACCAGGACTACCCCTACCCTGGTTCCCATGCATGCCAGTATGTACCTCAGACTTGTTCAGTCTGTCCCACATCCCATTTAGCTCTCATACATGTCAACTGAAGCCTAGTTCGACCCAACCAACCCTACTATCCAGCCCAGACACCTACTGGCGGGTGCCTTTCTGTTTAGCCACCCCTGCCCTGTCCTGGTTTTTGTGCTGTCCCAAGAGGGAGCTGCCCATTATTTCCCTACTAGGCCACTCCCACTCTCAGATTATGCACTCTCCAGGTGGTTCTGAAGTTTAACCTGACAGAATTAGCCCCCAGTGCCAGCCTCTGTCAGCTGATGCTGGGGCAAAGCCCAACGCACTCTCACCTACTCTAATTTTTGCTTGCACCAGTTGGAACAGTCAGCCCAACCTGGCTTTTCCCTGATCTAGCTCACATGAGGCCCACAGGTGTTGTAGCCCTGCCTAGTCTGGTCTGCCCCCATTCCAACTCACGCTTTCCAGTGGGAGTGGTTGTCCAGCAGGGAAGCTCACATTCCCATGGCTGGCTTTGCCCACAGCCTCCTGGGTTCTCACGTGTACTAGTTGGGTGCTGTGGCCACATCTGGTATGGCTCACTTTACCTTGGCATTCCGTAATGTGCACTGGTATGTGTTGCGACTGAACCTGGCCCGACCCACACTCTGTTCCTGTGGTTTCGCCAGCGGGTGATGTGAGCTGGTTCAGCCTGGTCTGCCCCTGACCTATGCCAAATGTGTGCTGGAGGGTATCTGGCCTCATCTGGGTTACTCCCTATCGTGGTTCTTGCGTTCACTTGCAGGGACTGTGTCCCAAGCTCCTCCATCAGAACCTCTCCGTATGCCAGATCTTGTGCGTACTGATGGATCTATGGGTCAGCCCTCCTTGCTGGTCTTCAATCCATCCTGGTTCTTACTGTTGGATGTTTCAGCCTAGCCAAGGCTTCTCTATACCCAGACACTGCTCACACATGGCTCAGTAGGGGCAGAGACCTAGCCTAGTCCATTCTACATCTACCCAGGCTCTCCAGAGCACCAAATGGTGCTGGAGTCTAGCCTGGTTAAGTGTGCCCAGCCCCTGTTCACACTTGTGCCAAGGGAGATTGCAGCCATATCTAGACCAGAACGCAGCCTCCACTCTGGCCCCTGCACTCACCAGTGGGAACCCTAACCCGGTAAGGGTATATTCTCATAGCTCCCCAACTAAACCTATTTCCAGCCCTAATTACATGCATGCCAGTGGTTGCTCTGTCCTAGTTGGCTTAGCCACTCACCTGTCTCAACCTTTGCTGTGGCCTAGTATCCCTGGCTGATGCAGATCAGTCAGTGTAAGAGCCTAGCTCGGCATGACCTCTTCTCCATCCTAGTTTCTGTTCTTCCTTATGAGGTTTGCTCAGCCCTGCCTGTTCTGCTCCCTTTCAGTTGCAGCTCAGCCCACCCCACATCCTATTTTGGGATGCACATTCGGGTCCTGCTGCCTTGACCTGCCCAGACTGTTGTGGCAGGTTCCACAGTCACACCTAGCTCAGCCCATTGCCACCCCAGCTCGCAAGCTAAGCTGCGGGACTTGTATTTCTACAGGGCTGGACCTGGTTCTCTCGCATGCTCTTAGCGTCTTGACCCTAACCAGCCAAGTGTGACGCATCCCCTGTTCCACCACCCAGTCAGGTACTGGTACCTAGCCCTGCCAGACAGGCCCCCCCCATCCATAGCTTTTGTGTGGACTGGTGTGTGGCAGTCAGTGATGCTCTCCTAACAGCCCATCTCAGGATTCCCATTTGGGCTTTTGAATCAGTCTGATCCAAATAGATCGTATGGACTGTCCTCCAAACCGCCAGGTCTCAGTCCCCACACTTGTCTCAGACCGCATTGCTGGGAATCACCCAGAATTCACCCCTTACACTCACACTGGTCTTATCCATGCGTGTCCCTAGGCAGCAAGAACCTCAGAGCTTGCTGCCAGGCGGCCAGCAGGCAAAGCCTCATGTCCAATAGGTGCACTGGCCACCCAAAGCCTAGGACTTGGTGAATTGCCTTTTGGCAGGGACTTTGGCCTGAGTCCCCAACATTGGGTCTGGCCTGGCTGGGGAACCCTCTACAGCCGCCACACTGCAGGAAGCTGCTGTTGCCCCAACCCCTCCCAAGCTCCTCCTGCTGCAAGATGTTAGTGGCAGGATGGAGCCAGGACCTTAATCCAGTTCCTGTTTCCCTCATGGTACACTTACCCTGAGGGAAGAGACTTCTCAGACCTGGAGAAAGCCTAAAGGCAGTGACCTTGGCCCAAGTCCCCAGCATTGGGTCTGGCCTGGCTGAGACACCCCCCGCACCTCTCCCCAAGACCTAGTTTTATATTTTAATGTGCTTTCCCTTTAGGCACAATAAAAAATTACCCAAAGAGTCCATCCAATGCACTGTGCAAGCAATGTTGCAAACTAAGCCACCACTTGCCACCCCAGTGCTGGTTTGAGTCTTACTTCCCTGCTAATGTGCTTGGAAAAGCAGTAAAGGATGGTCCAAGCGCTACGGTCCCCGCTAACCATGTGAAAGATCAGGATGGAATTTTTCACTCCAGTCTGGCCCATCTTCAGCCACTGTGGCCATTTAGTGAGTGAACCAACACATGGGAATATCATCTGTGTGTGTATCGCTGTCTTTTAAAATAAGTCAATCAAATAAATTTTAAGGGAAAGAAAGCCTTCAGGTGAAAAACAGTAAGAAAAAAAATCAAGTACTACATCTTATGATGTAATCTTGATGAACTGTCTTGAAGATGCTTTAAGACTTGCCAGGACTGCCTTAAAGCAAAGCGGAGACACCCCGCAACGTGAACAGAGGAATGTTATAAACACTCTACCCGTATCTTAATTAAAATAGAGTTTATTAGCTTTTCTTTTAATATAAACACGAGAAAGAAAAAACCACGTGAGTTGTAGCATTCTTTTCAAAATAAAATTGCAATCAACACTTGAATCTCTAAGCTCTGAACTCCATAAACCATTTTTTGAGGTGGTAGATTGTAATATTTTATATGCCATTATTCATCATTTACATGTTATCTGTCCTTTAAAAATTATGGAACCTGTAGCTAACTGTTGCTGTACTTAGACAAAATATTCCTGGCCCAGAAACACCTTGTTTACAGTAGGATTCCTGGTTATACTCAAGAAGGCAGAGAAACAGATTTCATATAAATTGAGAACACTTGTTTTGTCCCCCCAGTATTTCAAATCTAGGCGATACTGTGACCAATCCCTTGACATGATCTACTCCCTGCCCGCTGTAGGCTGAAGAGGTCCTCCGATTCCTGTAAGTTCCCACTTAAACAGCAGGACCTGAAAGAGGACACTGCTGGCCCCGTGAACCTGCGGGATTCCACAACCGTTTTGTGTCACCAACCACTATTCGGGGTCCAATTCCTTATTGTCGACCACATGCGTGTGAACACTGTTCTTCATAATCTTCCTTTACCAGATATGGAGGGAGAGGGTGATCCAAACAGAGGGAGTGCAGCCCCACAAAGAGCCACTCTAAAAAGCAGGTGCTTTTCAGGCGATGACAAGGGATTCCACGAGCTCAGTGCTGCTGGAAGCTCTCGCAGCTCTCGGAGTATAAATGCCACAAACTGACAACACCCTGTCTGAAAATTTAATTACTTCATTGGAACTTACTTAGGTTTGCAAATTTGGAATACTAAACTTTTAATTCTACTTTTTTTCAGTTTATGCATGCCATCTTTAATAGGGCCTGAAACAAACAAAAAGAGTAATTTTTGAATTAGCAGCTTATCATTTCAAATTTACAAAAACATAAGTTTAAAACAAACAGAATTAAACCTCCAAATGATGGTCTATCTAAGTGTGTGGCATTCCTTCTCCTGCTGCAGGGCCCTGGCAGGTGCACAGACACACAAAAGCTTGAGCCTGCACTAACTTTCTGGACACCTTGCATTTTACTACCTGCTTGTTATTCCTAGACCACCACTGTTGGCTGACATCATGAAAGTTATCTTTTAATACAGTTATCTGATTAATAAGGAAAATTACCGGAAGAAGAGAAGCACCATTATGTTACTACAGTTTCTGAAAAATGTAGTGTGGCCCCAACAGAAGTAGATCTTCAACGACTGACCCCGAATGTGCTAAAATGCTAGTAAGTAGTGTTTGCAAAGAACAGAAAAAACAAGTGTTATCCAGCAGCTTTTTGGTTTAAATTGATTGCCAGTGATGACTAGCAGCTTCAATGATACAGGAGGAAGAAACCTCAGCGCCTGACAGCACTATAGTCTTGTCCTAAGTGGCTTCGTGAGTTGGTAAGAGCTCCATGTTGCAAGGATAATACTGCATTGATTCTAGGGGTTTATGCAGCAACATGGGAGGGGGCAAGAAAAACAGGAAAAACAGAAAGGTTACGGGGTTAGTGTCTGCAATGTCTACAAATTTTAACTATTAACTGAAACAAACAATAATAAAAAAAAAAAAAAGCGTGTAGTTCACAGCTATTGGCCTACACAGTAAGCAAATATCTGTGTGTGTGGGTTGGGAGTGTTCACTTGTCGGAGAGGTTTTTGTAGCTCTGTTTACATTAAAGAGGACAGAAGAGTGTGTTGTTGCAATTAACAAGGTCCCATTCTTTCCTATGGAGTGTAATCCTCATTGTCCACGAGTCTCTTGAATTCCGTGTCTTTCTTTTCGATGAAAATACTAAGTTTGCTGGTTTTTGAGTGGGAGAGGTGATCATTCTCCAGTCCTTGCGGATGCGGGGTTCAGGACGTCAGAATTCCTCCTTACTCTCCTTAAGAGAGGATGGCATTAGAGCGCTGGACACCGACGAAATTATCTGCGCTGAAAGATCGTCTCATCGCAGCTCTACACAAGTCTTTGTATTTGTCTTCACACAATCTGGAAATGGCCTAGGAAAGTCAAATAGAATACAGAAAGAATTAAAGGGGAAAAAAGTTCCATCATCAAAAAGCTTCACTGACAATAAGCCACACAGTCCCATGTTCACTTGTTCTTTAAAAAGCCAGTATTTACTTTTCGTTAGTGGATACTCTCAGCATTCAGTGTGCTGGACTTCTTCGTGCATGTGCTGGACTGTGCTGGAGGGTAGGACTGAAGCATCAAAAGGTGCCTCTTCACTTGCACATTAATTACAGTAGAAAAACACTCTAAAGTGCCCATCGGATGTACGAGTCCACTTCAGCTGTGAACAACTTGGGTGGAAGCTATCAGAAAGTCATAAGCCATCAATATTGTTTCTCAGTTAAAGCTAGCATTGCCATTAAAACCCATGTACTCTCTATGTCCGCTATGTAAAGCACACATTATTATGAATTCAAAGTACAGGTCTCTCAACATAAGCACTAACCCTTTGTCTAATAAACCCAAGGGATGGAACTGACGAACACACACAAATTGCTATAAATGCGAAAACGTGAAGACAATCAAGAGTAATACATGGATTACGCATATAGGACCACAAAGAAGACATTTTCTGGCATATTTCTAAATGTTTTTAGCACGGAAAGTAAAGTTTGCTCAAAAGGAAAACCATTAAGAATGCTAACGTATTCTGAATTATGGGCAGAGGAAATAATATCCACAGTTTTAAAATATAAAGTGGATCCTTTTGCATGAGCTATAAAAGACACGGGAATTATGATGCCAAAGGGTTAATACGCTCTTCTTCAGGGAGCTAATGTAAAGGCTCTCCACTTCTGTCACTGAAGTCACACCAGGGCTGTGGCAGCTCATGAAAACCTCACACAGGGATTCCCAGCCTTACCTCTAAATTCTGTGCTCTTTCTTTGCTGAGAGGAGCAAACAGAAAATTCAGGTTGTTGTCATCTGCTAAGGAGCGAAGGTCAAAGTAGTATTTGGCATAAACACTGGCAGGAACATTAATATTAAACTGAAGCAGCTCCAAAAAATGCCGTTCCATCTCATTCCTGGGGCAGGAGGAAGACAACAAAAACAACACAGGCCAACTTCAGTCAACTGGGTTCTCTCGAAAGTCACCACTCCAAGCTACCAGGAGGGCTGTGAATTCTGGTTTGAAACAAAGGCCACCCAGCTGGATGCTCTGACAAGGCAAGCTCTCTGGGGTCCTGCCTGCACCCCAGCGCTGGGAGTTTGGGACAGGGGAAAGGTTGTGCCCCTCTTCCAGCCCCGGGCTGCGGACTGGGGCTCCTGCTTCTGCAGAGTTCCATTAGTGCAGCTGCGAGCCTCTCGCTGCTCAGTCCCTCCCAAGGCCCACTCCAGGGACCAGATGAAAGGGATGATGGATGCTGTTTATTAGCTCTGAAGAACTTGCAGACATTTCCACTAGGCTGATAACAGGAAGGGGCTTATTGAAGTAGAGAAGCGCCAACAAAAGGAGTGGGCACATCACCACGGCAACAAATGGATCCATCGAGAGCCATCGCTATTATCTCGGAGGGGGAAAAACTCTCGAGGCAACAAGGATTCATCTCAAATAAATAAATCAGTTACATTTGCTGGGAAAGGGAATCCCCCAGTCCACCCTCCCTGCCCTGCACAGGAGGCCAGGCCAAAGGGCATAATGCAAGTTCTGCTCACCTTAGTAGGACTAAGGTTGTAAATTGTCACTCTGACAGGGCAGGGTATCTTTTAAAACTCTGGGAGGAAGAAAGATCAAAGACAGATGTCCCGGCTGGACTGAAACCACTTCGCGACCTGGCTCTGGTATAGCAGTGATGAACTGTCCCGATGCTGGGAAGGCACCAGTGCCGGTGCCCGAGCACAGCACCAATCAGCACGTCGGGGAGCGAGGTTCACAGGGTGCAGAGGGCAAGGGGCGCTGGTCTGGGTTAGGGAGCCCTGTACCTGCCTTCTCCATGTGTGCAAGCAAACACAGCAAGCCATCCCACTGTCAAGGTGATTCCCCTGAAACTAATTGTGTTAAAAATCATAAATACTTAGACAAGCATGAAAGGGGCGTATTTCACATTATTTGGTTTCTTGCTTTTAAAAAGTTTTATCCTCCAAGTCATCAAATGTTGATCTTCTGTAGAACAGTTAGGATATGAGCAGAGATGTGACTTCCTCATTTATTGAACTTCACAATCCAACTGAGCCTACTTCTAAAATTAATTTCCTGTTCATATGGTACTGAGTCTATAGAAATGTAAATCAGACAATGTTTTGATAATCAGCTAATCAGGACTTAATTTACTACACGAACAAATGCACTTCAATACCCCTTTTATATCTTCTTTGCTAATACATTTTAACTGTGTAGAAATATAGTACTTCATAGGATTAACATGTCTTTAAATAGAGGTTTAATCACTGAAGAAAAGCATTATGCCTACAGAAAACACATCTTCTGGGTTTTTAGCTTTTTTTTGTAAATGGCTGAATAGCATACCATTTATTAGACACAGCAAATTTTCTACATAGCAGCTGCTTAGCCTAATTTATTGTTAATGTTGGAAAGTTTTAAGAAAAATTGGACAGACACCAATTTTTAAATTTAACCGTTTCAAATAGCCAACAGAAGAGGCAAAAGACAAACAGAAGAGGCCAAAGACAAATATGCATTACCTACTTGGTTGTAATGCTTTCCTATTTCCAAAGACTATGAATAAAGCACAGCTCCTGGTGTTTCTCCATAGACAGAAAGCACTGAGTGGCACCCGTCCTTGTAACAGCATCAGCCTCTCCTGCTGCCACAGCTCACTGCCTTGCCTCTGCTCTGATCCTGTCACTGCAGTCAGAGCCCCAGACGGACTCAGCTGCAGGTCTCATGCAGCTCTGGCTGTTGTTCTGGTGGGCCTTGGGTTTATGTTCACACATTGCACTTCCTTTAAAGGACCAGCTTCCACACTTAAGACAGTAGCCATTTCGAGTCACTATGCTTCTGCAACTTGTACAAGCATTTCCACTGGTTTACAACGCATTAATGGCCACACCGTCTCAAGGTTGCCAGCAATCCGGTCACCACTGACCATCGGTTTACACAATTATCAAAGTGGTCATTTTCCCCATAAGTCACTTCAACAGCTAACAGTGACTGATTCTCTCCTAGCCTCAAGTAATTACTTGAGTCTCACGATTCTGAATGATAGTCTTATCTAGAATAATGCCCAAAGGTACCAAAACTCCTGCCACTGCCTGCCATGACCTTGATCTTTCTGTGCTGCTCAATATAATCTACATACTTTACCTAAATGCCTCCCACACAGCTATGTTTACACCAAGCAGGCACTCCAAGGGTCTCCTGGAAATACCTCCCCAGCCCACCCTGCCTACTCCTTCAGCCATTCCCTTCACAGAAGTCAGGAGACCGGAGCAGAGCCTACCGCTTCAGTCCCATGTGGGCATGCCAATCAGGCACACCAGGGTTTTTTTGTTTGTTTTTTAAAAGATTTTATTTTATTTCTGTTGGAAAGGCAGATATATAGAGAGGAGGAGAGAAAGAGAGGAAGATCTTCCGTCCATTGATTCACTCCCTAAGCAGCTGCAATGGCTGGAGCTATGCTGAATCGAAGCCTCTTCATGTCTCCTATGCAGGTGCAGGGTCCCAACGCTTTGGGCTGTCCTCAGCTGCTTTCCCAGGCCACAAGCTGGATGGGAAGCGGGGCTGCCAGCACTAGTACCGGCACCCATAGGGGATCCCAGCGCATGCAAGGAGAAGACTTTAGCTGGTAGGGTATGGCACCAGACCTGGCACACTTGTTCTTGACCCCAAGTTCCACCAAGTGCCCAGGAGGCTGGCTGGTGAAAGCTGAACAGCGCATCTCTAACAGTCTATAGGTAATCTTGGCATTGCTTAACTTCTTAGACCCACTTGTAAACAAAGGTGATGCTCTTAACAAGGAAGTGGCCAAAGCTTAGGGATTAGAAGCCCTAACTTTCCTATCTCATGATGTTTGTAGCAACATTTGGTACAGTGCTCAGAAAGCCATTTGGGAAGACTCCATTCTGTACTGGAGATTCCTGGCTTGAATTCAAGCTCTGCTTTTGATCCCTGTGGCCTGCTACTGCACATCCTAGAAGGCTACAGGTGATATGACTCACATCCTTGGGCTCACTGTCACTCACCAGGAGACCTGGATTGAGTACTAGGACCCCCGGCTTCACCCTGGCCCAGCTGCACCCCTGACTGAACCAGCTGACAGAAGATCTCTGTGTCTTTTCACCTTTCAAATAAACACAGACAGACATTTTAAGGGGGAAAAGCACCAGAGTAAACATACAGTCTGCGACTCCTAGTGAAATTGTAAATTCTCAATCCTCCCGAGCCCGTGAACTCTAAGAGTGGTCACGTATTCCAAAGCCCAGATGAGGGGGCAGGTACATGGCACAGCAGCTCAGGATGCCCCTCAACGCTACCAGAGTGCAACGAGGCTCTAACCCTGCTCTCTGCTTCCAATCCAGCTTCCCATTAATGCACAGCTTGGGAGGCAGATGACAGCAAGTGTTTGGGTCCCAGCACCCACAGGGAGATCTGGATTTGTGGCTTTAGCCCTGTCCAGCCCTGGACGTGCGGGCACATGCAGAGAAAACCAATGAATACAAGACTTCTCATCTGTTGTCTTCTATAACAAAAGTAAAACTTGCTAAAATGCCAGATGTGTGTTCCTTAAGGAGTAGTTGTATCTTTTAAAAAGCCACAAAGCTTTCTGCTGCATTATGTTGTTCCGGTAGTAAGTTTGTAAGATGTTTACCAAAACTACCAGAAAAATAAAATTCAATTTATAAAGCAGGTTATTATTATAAGATTAACACATCAAAGCTTATTATTAATGGAAAATCGGAATTGTTAAACTAGGCATGAACCTTTATGCCTACATCAATTATCTGCACGATGTAACCTTTAAATCAATTTCTTAAAAGATAACTTTAAAAGAGCAAATGAAGTAATGACAAATGATTAGAAAGTTCACCAAAATTTTGTAAACTCACATGTCCTCAACTGTAATGTCCTTGAGGATCTGGCAGTAGTCCACATTCCACACAGCCTGATCGTCCCAAACCTTGGAGGCAAGAAGAATGGCTCCCAGGACAATCCGCTTCCAGTTTGTGGGACAAATGTCAATCTCAGCATAAGTTAAAAGTCTTTCTAAGTAAACCTGCAAAAGTAGAGAACTGGTCTTTGATTTTAGTTCAGCTTAAGCACTATGATAAGAATAAGAATGTTAGGATCGACAGATTTAATTTATGATCATAAAGCAAGAGCCCTTTATGATTACATTCTATTGGGACCTCTGCTGTTTTTTCTGCTCATGCAAACATCCAGTTTAATTTTGGCCCTAGGAATGAGAGGCCATCTCAGCAAAGGGCATCCTGAAGCATTGCTGGTACCCACAAGCTTAGGAGAGGTAGCCAACACAGGCGTGGTGGACACTACACTTTAGCTGGTAAATACTCAAGTGCTACCACATGTAATGTGCTGTGCCCAGCTGGGGTTACACGGTGACTTCACTGTATAGCACCTGGCATTAGGAGTGAACATCTTTTTGTCAACTGTTCACAGTAGCTAAGCCTTCTGTGGCAGCAACTTACAGATAAGAACTGGTGGACAAGAGAGCCTCCCAGTGGCTGCTGAGCAGAGCAACACCAGGCACAGGTCTCAGCAGGCCAGTGTTCCCACAGCAACTTTGTAAGGTGCACCCACGTACCAAAGGCAGGTCCTCTCATAGTCCCTGCTTTTCACAGCTCCACCATCACTCTTGTTCTGCCCTGCATCTTTCATCTACAGCTTACTCTGCTTTTGTAAGTTTTATGGCAGCAGTTAACAGCGGCCAGTCTCTATCCTAGGACTCCATGCACTCCACCCACCAGGCTGTTTGTGACACAATCTCATCCATTATTTGCCATACATGAAATATCCATCCTACAAAGGTGGAAAAACTGATTACAGAGGTAAGCTCCATAGAGACTATGCAGAATACATGAACATGCTACTTGGACTCCTGTATCAAGACAAAAAGAAGTCCATTTCTCAGTGTCTACTTATATTTGGAATATTATTATGAGACTAACAGCTCAAATGTGGTAATGTTCTCCAAACAACTGCGCTTGCAAAAAAAAAATATATATATATATATATATATGCATCCTAGGATTCTGCTTCTATTTCCCAAAACCTAATGCTCTCCACTTCCCTGGAGTGAGCTGCCCTCACAGGGCCCACACTGGCCATCCTTCTGGACTCAGGACTGAGAAGGCCTGTTCGTGCTGCCAGTCGCTGAGCCCTGGGGCAACCTGCGTCAGGAATTGTATTTTACCCCTCTGAAGTTAACCCCTCCAACTGCATAGTCAATCCCGCCCACTGCTGCAGCACACCGCTCCCTGTGTCTGCCCCACTAGGAATGTGTCTACGTTGTCCCATCCATCCTAGACTTCGCAATTCCCAGAACACTTTCTTCCATTTTGCTCACATCACACCCTAATGAAGCCTTCTCATTTCTTCTCCAACACTCTGCTTTATCTACCTCATCTGCCACTGCCACTTGTTCCTCTTTAGGGCACGCCTGCCAAAGCCCTTAGTGCCTTCACATGCACAAATTGGAGTTATTGGGCCCGGCGGCGTGGCCTAGCGGCTAAAGTCCTCGCCTTGAACAGGCCGGGATCCCATATGGGCGCCGGTTCTAATCCTAGCAGCTCCACTTCCCATCCAGCTCCCCGCCTGTGGCCTGGGAAAGCAGTCAAGCACGGCCCAAAGCTTTGGGACCCTGCACCCGCGTGGGAGACCCGCAAGAGGCTCCTGGCTTCGGATCGGCATAGTATCGGCCGTTGTGCTCACTTGGGGAGTAAATCATCGGACGGAAGATCTTCCTCTCTGTCTCTCCTCTCTGCATATCTGACTTTGGTATAAAAATAAAATAAATCTTTAAAAAACAAAAGCAAATTGGAGTTCTTTATCAATATCCTCCCCTCCTTGAGTCATCTCTTACACTAGGAAGCACACTGCCACTTGCCTACAGTTGGGTAAGTCCTACCTGTGAGCCATCTGCTGGCCACTCCCTTACCATTCCCTTTACTGCTCATCTCCATCACTGTAATTGCCTTTTAAACCTCCATTCCTCTGCTCCTCAAACTATGGCTGGTTTTGCCTAAAGCTGTGAGAATAACTTCTTAAGGGCCCTTCACTCCCCTGCTTCAAATCTGCCAAAAGTCACTCATCTAATTTGAATAAAAACTAACTTCTTTCCACAACCTGCAAGCTACAAGGACCTGTGAGATTACCTGGGTGACCACATCTTCTCTCTCCTCTCTCTCCATCCATCCAGGGGCCCTCTTTGCTGTTACTCAAACATGCAAGCCATGTTCCTGTCTCAGTCTTGGCATGTGCCCTGCTCCTTGTAACTCCAGAGTTCCTCAGCTCTCTCATATAGGACACTGTTGAAATTACTGTTTCAGAGGGGCTTCTTGGCTTTCTATGTGTTCAACCTTTTTTCTGAGCCGAGTAGCAGAGTGGGTGTTCACAAAGTATTTCCAGGGCCCATGGTTTCTTGGTGGGCAGCATGTAGCACTGAGGTTATGCCCTCTCCTACCTGACCTTCTTGTTCCCCTGCTCCCCGCCCCCCCCGCACTCTGGCTGCCCTGAGGAGCCTGTCTCTTAAAGGCAGACAGTCCTAACAGATCACTCTGTAACGCTTTCTTTTTACCCTCTGCTGAATCTGAGCAGCTACACTGATGTTCCTTCCTGTAGCTCAGAAGCATGCCCTAGTTCTTGATATCCAAATGATAACCAGATGTTGCCACTCTGCGATGTCACAGTAGCTAAACTTACCTCTGAGATTCTAACTGGATGCTACAGGAGGGCTGACACAAGTACTTTCCTTTCCTTGGTGTGTCTGCTGCGAGGAGGGCAGGAGTAAAACTGCTTGAACAGATTTACTACTCAAAAATGCTGATGGCTTAGCACAGGAATTCTGCACAAAGACCACAAAGCCAAGTGCACAACTATTACTCAGAAGGCCAGCAAGGGCCATCTTCCAAGTACTCAGCAGCAGCTTCAGCAGCAGACACTCCAGGTCTGCAAGGATGGGTCATCTCTTACCTGTTATCCAAGGAACAGAGCCCCAGGGCACTAGCTCTGAATCGTGGCATGTGCGAGAAGCGCCTGGGGAATACTGCCTGGCACTGGGCTGACAATCAGAGCCAGCCTGTGTCTGCCCCCCTCCCTCCCACCTACCACAGGTCTCCTACGTCACCGTGGAATGTGAGGGAAGAACCCCATTCATCGCTCCTGCTGCCTGGAAGAGCAACTGATTTGTGATGAGAAAAGCAATGACAACCAGAAAGACTGCTAAACTGGAATGTGTACAATTACTTTCTTCCACTAGATTTTCTCTTAATAAAGGTGTAATGATAATTTCAGAAATCTTCTTTTTTTAAAATGATCTTACTTGGGCCCGGCGCGGTGGCGCAAGTGGTTAAAGGTCCTCGCCTTGCACGCCCGGGATCCCATATGGGCGCCAGTTCTAATCCGGCAGCCCCGCTTCCCTTCCAGCTCCCTGCCTGTGGCCTGGGAAAGCAGTCGAGGACTGCCCAAAGCTTTGGGACCCTGCACCCGCGTGGGAGACCCACAAGAGGCTCCTGGCTTCGGATCGGCATAGTATCGGCCCGTTGCGCTCACTTGGGGAGTGAATCATCGGACGGAAGATCTTCCTCTCTGTCTCTCCTCTCTGTATATCTGCCTTTCCAATAAAAAAAAATAATAATAAAAATAAATCTTTAAAAAAAAAAAAAAAAAGATCTTACTTAATTGATTAAGGTACAAAGGGTCAAGGGCTACAGGAAAGTGGGTAATACCATTGTTTCCACAGTAATATTTTTTTCCCTGTGTCTGGGGTCAGGGGGGGAAACAAAGGGAAAAGCCCTGCCCAGCCTCCCACCCATCTCAGGTCCCCAATGTGAGGCGTGCTCAGAAATCTACTTTTATTTGAAAATAGGGCCATACCCTGTAGAGAAGACCGATTTCTAAAGTTCCTTTACGCCTAAGAAATAACTTACCAAAGTGACTATGGCACATTCAGCCGTGAGCTGTGCAGCACTGAAAAGGGTCCGAACAAATCTATAAATAAACTTGTGTTCAGGATCATGCTTGAAGTATTCCTCCGGAACCTTTTCTCGCTGAAAGAAGAAAAGACATAACGTAAGCGAGCACCGAAGAGAAAGGCTTGACGTGTTGGTCAGACAGCAGCCACCCCACCTGTGCCCAGGAGAGCCTTCAAAACAATTCTGATTGGGCGTCTTTTAGCCTTTTCAGCAGGGGGACCTCATACACCGTGAAGATTCAATACCCACGACCGCTCAGCAGAGAACAGCACAAGCACAAGCTCTGAGAACTCTGCTCCTGCCCACACTGGATGGAAATGCACGCACTTTCTAGGCTCCAGTCGCACTGATCATGTCATTCCTCCCTATTCTGCAGGCAGGCCCAGAGTCCTAAGCCAAGAGGCACTCAGGCGCACTGGCCAGATCAAAGTCACACTAAGGGAGCGCTCAAAAGTGAACAACTTATGCCTAAGGAAATGAGTTTCTAAATTTTGATTTTATTTGAATTTTATCACTAAAGCAATTCAATGCTATTACTTGAATTCACTGAAACTAAGTTGAAGTATTCTCATTATTTTCATAGAAGTATTACATCTTTCTTATACAGTTACAAATATTTACATTCTTTGATACTGTTGATGTTATCTTTTAAAAAGCCACATTTTCTGCATTTTCTGTTACTTATGATAGTATGATTAGCTCACTAAACAAAGTATCAACTCAAATCTTGCCACACTATATCCCATACCCCTCCTTCTAGCTGATGACTAGATACAACATGGAGGGGGGAGCTTAATGAAAGATGTTTTTCGATTTCAAGATGAAGGGAGTGATTTTCTTCCAGCAATTAAAAACAAGTTAGCAAGACACATGGAACTCAAAGAAAAAGAAAATACCACTTCAAGCAAAGTGATGCTTACTGTGAGTGGATGTGATCGCTCATCAAATATATCCAGGGATCTATTTGCATCTCTACAAAACAAAGAATGCATTTAAAATGTGAATCAGGGATTAATATTAATACAATACCTGCTTCGTGGGAGAAGTTTCCTTCCAAAAGCAGACAGTTTTATGAAATTTTCGCTGGGACTATGGGGTCTGAGACAGTTTCATGACGTCTTTTTCTTACCATAAAGTTCTTTCTGCAATACCCACTTACACCTGCCTTCAGCCACGGCCCCACCCGGATAGTAATGCTAATAAATCAGAGGGTTTTTTTTTTTTTGAAACACAAGAACATTTTAAAAAATTTATTTTTATTGGCCAGATTCAGAGATTAGCAGAGACAGAGAGCAAGATCTTCCATTTGATGATTCACTCCCCAAGTGGACTCAACGGCTGGAGTTGAGTCAATCTGAAGCCAGGAGCCATGAGCCTTCTAGGTCTCCCACATGCGTGCAGGGTCCCAAGGCTTTGTGCCGTCCTCTACTGCTTTCCCAGGCCACAAGTAGGGAGCTGGCTAGAAAGTGGAGCTGCCGGGATTAGAACCAGCGCCCATATGGGATCCCAGTGAACTCAAGACAAGGACTTTCAGCTGCTAGTCTATCACACCGGGCCCTACACAAGAATATTTATAAAGCCAGTAGAATATTTATAAAGCTGGATTTCAATAATGTGTATGAGATTCTGACTTCCTAGGCCTATCAAGATCATACATATTTTTTTTTTTTTACCTCCTTTCAATAGCCTTCGTTAAGCACTTAACTGCCTTTTCACTTTAAAAGGAGCCAGTCTTTTCATTTAAAGTCACCAAAGGCATACAACCCAGTGTGGCACCCTCAGGCCTTAGTCAGGAGGCCCCCCAAGGCCAAGCTAACAGGAGTGCTCACAGGGTTCCTGCTTTTCCTGCCTGGCCTGGGACCAGCAATGATCCCAGGAAAGACAACTGGGCGGGGAAGAGCAGCATCAAATTATATCAGCAGTCACTCTGTTGTTCACTGCCACTTTAAAAATAAAGCATCGGGTCCAGTGTGGTGGCGCAGTGGTTAAGGTGCTCGCCTTGCACGCCGGGGATCCCATATGGGCGCCGGTTCTAATCCCGGCAGCCCCGCTTCCCATCCAGCTCCCTGCCTGTGGCCCGGGAAAGCAGTTGAGGATGGCCCAAAGCTTTGAGACCCTGCACCTGTGTGGGAGACCCGGAAGAGACTCCTGGCTTCGGATCGGCATAGCATCAGCTGTTGCGCTCACTTGGGGAGTGAATCATCGGACGCAAGATCTTCCTCTCTGTCTCTCCTCTCTGTATATCCGCCTTTCCAATAAAAATAAATCTTTAAAAATAAAGCGTCACTTAAGAATGTCCTTGTGCAAAAATCACCTAAACTACTTCTGCAAACTGACATGTGGCTTAGTAAGAAAACACCTGTGATCAAGCTGTGAGCTGAAGGAACTACTTTTTTTTTTTTTAAAGATTTATTTTTATTATTTTTTTCATTGGAAAGGTGGATATACAGAGAGGCGAGACAGAGAGGAAGATCTTCCGTCCGATGATTCACTCCCCAAGTGAGCGCAACGGGCCGATACTATGCCGATCCGAAGCCAGGAGCCTCTTGCGGGTCTCCCACGTGGGTGCAGGTTCCCAAAGCTTTGGGCAGTCCTCGACTGCTTTCCCAGGCCACAGGCAGGGAGCTGGAAGGGAAGCGGGGCTGCCGGGATTAGAACCGGCGCCCATATGGGATCCCGGGCGTGCAAGGCGAGGACCTTTAACCACTTGCGCCACCGCGCCGGGCCCAGGAACTACTTTTTTAAAGACCACTTTTATTTAACAGTTAACCAGGGCCAGCATTGTGGCATAGTGAGCTCAGCCACTCTTGAGAACCAACTCCCAGCCTTTGCACCTGGGAAAGCAGGGGCGATGGCCTGACCGCTTGGGTTGCTATACCTGTGGGAGACATGGAAGAAGCTCCTGGCTTCTGGCTCCAGTCTGGCAAAGCCCTGGTTGTTGCAGCCATTTGAGGAGTGAACTGGTGCTGGGAGATCTCTCTCTCTCGCACCCTTTCTGTGTGTAATTCTGCCTTTCAAAGAAATAAATAAATCTTAAAAAAAATCTAACTATACTTCTCAAAAATAGAGGCAGGGAGCATGCAAAGAAAAATAAATACTTGCTGTCAATAAAATTGAAGCTTTCAAACTAAAAATGAGGACACCTTCCATTATGAGCCTGACAGCTTCTCAACAGAAAAATTTCAGTAAAGTCAGTTGTGATCTCAACTTTTTTGCAATATTTTCCAAATGATCAACCAGTGCATATTATTATAAAATCATGTGTACAAGTAAAAGAACTATTCATTGTGCAAGATTAAAAAAAAGAAAAAACAATGAATAACCCCACCATGATAACTCCACAGATACGTAAAGTGTGTTGTCATTAACTTAAGAAATAAACACTTGGGACATACCTGATAGCTCAACTGGCTAATCCTCCCCTGAGCAAGCATCAGCAGCCTATAGCCAGTTCATATCCCAGCTGCTCCATTACTCATCCAGTTCTCTGCTTGCGACTTGCATAGGCAGCTGGGCATTGACTCAAAAGCCTTGGTCCCCTGCACCGGTGTGGGTGACCCAGAGGAGGCTCCTGGCCCTTGGCTTTGGACTGGCTCAGCTCCAACTCATTGCAATAATTTAGGGAGTGAACCCTGAGTGGAAGAGCTTTTTCTTTGTTTCTCCTTCTCTTTGTAAATCTTCCTTTCCAATAAAAATTATTTTTTAAACATAACAACATTTTGTTAATTGTTGTAGAAGAGAGCTATCTCCCATGAGTAAAATGTTATTTGATTTGAATAATGCAACCGTTTCATCAGCACAGTCCTGTCTCCCGGAACCCATGTGTCACGTAGCACGCAGGAAGGACTGCCATGGGTATTTTGTGGGCTGCACAAACAATGTGGCCAAGCATCCTGTGACGCCCGTGCCAGACCCCACAAGGAATCACCGCCTCAGAATCCCAACAGTGCCTGAGCTTAGCAGACAATGGATTTTCTAATCCAATTTTAATTTCTAACACAGTAAATATCAATACTGTCCACACAGTCTCACAATCCTTAATTACCAAAGAATTAGAAAAAAATTCCAAGTACAAAAAATATGACAACCCAATCATTTGCTTCAATATTGTAATAGGAGCACTCCACAGTTAATGTGTATAGTTATGAACTAATGCTAAATCTGTTACCATGCAGTGTTATATAGCAAGTAGAATTTAAAAAAAAAAAACAACACAGAATTTTAAAGTGCTTACCTGTTCTTTATGTGGTAATATATTGCTAAGGTCACACTGTGGAGAGAAAAAAAAATGTAAACATTGATTTGACCCTGCTAGGCCTGGAGCATTTTTCAAGGGGTAGCGACAGCCCTGAAATTCCTTTCCTTTTTACTTCTTTGGCTTTTAGAACAACAGGAGAAGCAAAGTGCTATGCAACATGTTATCAGAATACATGTTTCTGCTGATTGCCATTTGAAATCATTACGTTTCCCACCATTTGTCCTTCTACTCATGTTATGTTCCATTTGGTGTAAGTTACGTTTGTACACATGCCTAAACTTAACCCATTACATCAAGGTTTTAGTTCTAACAATATTTCAATGACACCTACTTCAAAGTTACCATAAGTAGTACTGAACTGAAATCATTATTAGTATCCTGCATGTGAGACATTAATGGAGTAAGCCAAAAAGTTGTTTTTTAAAGTTTTTAGGCCCTGTGAGTCAGGCCAATTTCACTTACATCCAAGCACCCACCCTTTTTCATTAGTTCCCTAAAGGCAAATACTAAAAGAACCATGCTTCTGACAAAACTTTTAAAGACCACTTCTGTATCGTCACGAGCCCACAAACTGACACTAAGTCTAGCCAGCCTATGATAAGCAGTGCGCCAACAATGCGGTATAGTCCTACACAGTACAATACCAGTGGCAAGTAGTTCCAACTCAGTTTGAACAAATGAATTATTAATGATCAGGCAACTCTTTCTGACAAATGTTACTATTTCTGAATTACCCACAGGTACTGTGGGATCAAAAGGGTCCTCCTTAGGTTAGTTATACACTTGTATTTACACTCAGTGTCCCAAGTGAAACGCAAATCGGTTGATGGAAGACAGATCTAAATCTTACAAGTAGATCTAAATAACATCTAAACATTTTTAAATGTAAATTTTAAAAGTTTATATATTTAGTATTGACGATGGATACTTCTATAGTGCTTCAAATAGTTTTGTCTTCAGATTTTAAAGTAACAGAATTTGAAGTTATACACTGAAAAGGACCACCAAACCTTACATGGCATTTAATTCAACAGCCCATTTTAACACAGGAACCAAGGCACAAAATGAACTTGTTCGAAGCCCCTCCAAAGAGAACAATCTTCCCCTCTACTCTCTAACTAATCAGTGGTTCCCAAACTTCACAGCCCCCTGCAACCGCCCGGCCTTGGCCTTGAGATGTTCTCATGTCACTGAACTGCATGTGACTTGGGCATCCGGACTGTTTCTGAAGTTCTCCAGTGGTCCCAATGTGCAGATCAGGGACCACTGAGTTTGTAAGATCAGAATCAGAAGGATGTTTCTGTTCGTAAAATGATGGCTCACATCCTTCCCAAGTTTCCTAAAAGGCTTGAGCATACCTTTTAGGAAGATGAAAGAAAGAAGTGGGAAAAGGCATGTGCTTCCCAATTGAGAATGATGCACTAATATCCCAAGATAAATTTTCTAAAAGCTGATTTGTTCAGTAACCCTTTCTTTCAATAGTGAATGCACAAAACAGTCACTTTTGAAGCTTAGAGAAAACTAAAATCTACTGAACTTTCAAAAGTAGAGGTCTAAAAAACAGACTGATTTGAGAAAAACTTCACGGGACCTATTTGTTTGAACAAGGCTAAATTACTTTTAAATTACATACTGAAATACTAGAAGCTTCTGAATTAAAAAGTTAGGACTGCAGCTGAAGTAGGGATCCGCTGAGCATCCTTGGGGATTACGGCACAGGTGCCACACCCAGGACTGCGGAGTGCTGCTGGGTTTGACCTTTTGTTGAAACACCACTTGATTTCAACTGCTGTTGAGAAAGGAAAAGTTTGACTGCCACGTGATTTTTTTTCTTAAAGCAGAAATTACTAATAAATTAGCTTAGAAATTGCCACAATAGAGGTAAAATTAAGTTTACAAGCGAGCTACATTTTTAGGCTACAGAGCAAGATTAAGGGTAAGGATACTAGTGTCTCAAAGCACTGCTCAAACTGATTTCTGAAAATCAATGCCTGTGACTCAAGGAGATGCTAATAAAGCTTCCTGGATGACCTGATGTAGGCGGACACTCTGCAGTTTGTTCCTCGTAGTTTCCACCTGTGCCATGGCATGCTCCCACCACACACCTCCTGGTGTGACCTGTGAGATGCTCATGCACAACAGGGAAGATTGACACGGAGGCCCACTGTGGCGCCAGCAGAGGACAAGCAGTGCTTTCCAAAGTCACAAACACTGTTTAAGGTGTTCAACTCACAAAGTACTAATTTTTCTGGAAAAATTCAATGAAAGCACCTCTCTTTTTTTTTATGTTCAACAGTACCTTAACCACATAAATGCAGCAAAAGAAGTCCATTTTGGGAATTTCTCATTGGCTAACTGGCTTTCCCTTCCACCATGCAAGCTAAGATTAAAACGTAAATTAAAAATTCATATTTAGGTTCTTGAAATCAATATATAGTTGACCCCCATTTCTTAAGCTGATCACTGAAAAGGACAATCAAATGGCTGAAATTAACAAGTATAGCTGGGATGCTTTCAGCATAAGGGGTCTTTTCACTTAGCCCTTGACAACCTAGTTGTACTCACCATTTTATTGTGGTTCTAAGATTAGGCTGGCTGACTGTGCTGTCATCTAGAAATATTGTTGAGCATGAGCTATACTTTTTAGTAAGCTGCCCTGGAGATACCTGAAGGGGAAGGGAAATAGAAGAAAATGTCACAGTAAGTTAAACCTATAAAATGTGGGGTTTTTTCCCCTTGGTTAAAATGTCAAACAATAAAGCATTAAGGTATTTCTTACACTACGTGACCTCACTGAGTGTGATAGCATGTGTGAGTCCATGTGAAACCCAGCGGAGGCTCTGAACTCCCACAGCATTCCAGGAATGGGATACAAAATGCTGCCCTTGACATGGCACCCAGAATCAACTATTAGAAATTCTTCTACAAATAAAGTAAAAAGTTAACAACAAGATTTCAGTATTTTCTACTTCTACTATTCATTTACAACAACAAAATGTAAGGCCAAAATACTGGCGCAGCAGCATTTTATTGCAACAAACGAAAGCCTAACGCTAAACTTACTGACTGAAACAAAATGTTGCCATCCAAGAGACAGTGTGAGGACACAAGCACATTAGACTCGGGGGGCTGTGAGCCAGGGCCGCCGAGGTCAGTGACAGGGTCTCCTGGGCCTGCTTCGCTACGTGGACACTAAGAGATGGCTTGAAGATTTTCTCACATCCCATCAACAGATGATCAAAAACAGTCTGAGAATTTAACTTTCATCTCCTGTTTAAATAAGACTGTCACTCAGTAAATTACACAAATGAAGGCCTGAGAGCAACTTTCATTCCAAAACCGTATTAATTTTATCCGCACGGTACGCATCACGCACCATGACACTTGCCCACTCCCCACCTACAAGGTCTTGCTCTTCCTGTAGTCCCAACATGTCTGACATGGCCTGCCTTCCAGGAGTCCCAGGTCCAGGCCACACCACAGAGCTTCCTCTTTGCACACTCGCTCTTCCCCTTTACCAGCTGGCGCACACCCCAGCCAGCGTGCCGGTGTGCATGACGCGCCCTCCGAAGACCGTGAGCCTCCCTGAGAGGGGACAGCTTTTCCTCCTGCTGCCACCCACCGACAGAACAGGGGCAGAACCAACCGGGGAACTCAGCAAGTGTTGACATATTGTGTATCAAGTATCTGATGTATTATTATTTAGTATCACTGATCATTTGAAACACAAATCTTTGAACAAATACAAATTCGTGAGAATTTAACTGCAGTGGTACTAAAGAGGTAACAAACTTTTTGTACTCTCTAAAGAAAAAAACTCTCTTTAAAACACTTTAGAAGTATCCATTTATTTGTGAACAGTCAAAAATATACCAGTAGTCAAATACTCAAACAGCCTGAACTATGTAAGGACAATTCTCTTCTGAAACGCAAGACCAAGACAACCGTTGGACAACCGGAGGTCAGAGCAGCATTCTTCAAAATCCACAGAATATGAGCAGTCTTAACTTCTCCATAACTAACTCAGATGAGCCTTCTTTCCTGGTGACACACGGGGTCCGCACACAGTCACACCCACCCACCTCAGAGACACATCAAGGTAGGGCAAGCACATTGACATGATGCTTTTAAAAATACGGTCCTTAAAAACCGCCGGGAGCCATAATCAGAAATACCTGCATGTAAGAGCTGCCTTGGGTTTAACACAGTCTTAGAGTGTTGGCTGTTAAAATGTACTGCTACTGAAGTACTACTGCATGGGGACTCCACTCTCCCACAAGCTACAGATATTTTAACCATAGCTAAACTCTTACGTCTTTTAAGGTATTCAGTTAATCCATACTGCTAAAATGAAGTAAGTGTATGCACTAATACTGACGTACATACTTCTATAATCTTAAAATATGAATGAATACAGCACAAAAACTGAAAATTAATTCAAATATTTTACATCTGAAATGGTATCTTTTAAGGTTCATATGACAGGTCAAGCATTCCTTTCCAATATGCGTGGGCTGGGAGCAGGGTTCTGACACAGCAGTTAAAGATGCTGCCGTAACAGTCAAAGCTTGCAGCACATACGGGACCAGCTCCTGTGCCCACTTTCCCCTTTCTGGATCAGCCTCTTGCTAATGCCCTGGGAAAAGCAATGGAAGATGGGCTCCTGAACTTACATGGGAGATCCAGATGAAGCTCCCCCGTCCTGCCTGCTGTGGCCACCTAGAGAGTACACTAACAGATGAAAGCTATCTCTGTCTTCCCCTCTCTGCAGTTCTTTCAAATAAATAACAAATATTACCAAAAAAAAAAAAAAAAAAAAAAAAAAAGAAAAGCAAACAAAACCCAAAATGTGTGGGCCGTTTGTGTCTGAAATTTTCAGAACCCTTTTTTGAAATAACATATACAAAATGAACAATCCTGAGGATGCAACCCCAGTGTGAACACAAAATTCACTTCTATTTGACATACACCTCCCACACACAGCCCCAAGGTAATTTTACATGGTATGCTTA